TCACATAGTAACACGTTAGGGCTTATATAAACTGAAAAACATTTTTTTATTTACATTATTTTTTTGTAAAAGTAGAAATCCAGTTTTGTTATTAGGTCGGCCTATTGATAATTTGTTTTCCGTCGTTACATATGTTAGCCCCGACTTATCCGACCCACTTTAATTTATGTAATGTTTTGAGAAAATTATATTTTTTTAACTTACTTTGCTAAATGTCAACCATAACGCTTGATCTTATAAATTAGACATCAATTTGTCAACCTTATGTCAAACTTGAACAAGTACCCTCGACGTCACGGTCATTGATTGCTGGCTCTGGGAACTAGAGGCCTCTCGAACATTCAGGCATTGGAAGGAGTTGGTCGTCAAGATTAATTGCAAGAGGAAGTTTTAACTTAATTCGTCATTTTTCAAAAGACATTAAAAACAACAAAACTGACAGACTATAACTATGTAGGTTTGAGTCTAGTAACCCAATATTAAAAAAAAGTTAGGTACTTTTAAATTTAAACTTGCATCATATGATGGGTGTTATAGTTAATATTACTATAATTTGTAGGTACCTACCTACTTGGTATTAATATGATAACTTAATAAATGTATAAAATTCGATCTAAAATAAATTTTAGCTTACAAATCACCCACTTTAAACTTAATATATACATTTGACTCAATAATAAGACGGTCTATTTAATGTTTTTAAAGTTAATCGGCCGAATTTAAATGACTTTTCCGTCAACTCCCGACGCACGTGGCGACTTCTGCCGAAAGGGTACGTTGATGTTATTACAAGCTTTTTATAAAGCTTCATTTGATACGCCAGTCCTTACCCAATAATTAAGTTTAAAATTGAATTACTTATTTAAGTATATAGTTTTTGTTAATTCAAGTTTGTTTTATAATTAAATGTATTAAATATATAGTACAATACTGCAGCGGCCAGGAAAAGAGGCATTGATAGACACATACGTACGACCAAGTATAGTAGTTTTCTCAAATAAACTGCGGATATTAAAACTAAGGAATATAATTAGGAACTTTTCAATCGATGACGAAGTTGACGAACAACTAGTAACGACTTTTTTTACGCGCCAGTTTTTACTAGACAGCTCTTCATGTGCCAGCCAAAAAATTAAAATTAAACCTTTGATAGTGAAGTAACCTCTTTGGTCCCCATGTTGCGGAGTAGAAGATCGTTACATTTTTAGATTAATTAGGCACAACAAATATGATTTTACATAGTTTTGGCCGGTAAACACGACAGATATGAATTTTCATACAACGAATGCCATCCAGTCAGCAAGTTCGATTTATGTCTGAAGAAGGTAGTTGTAATAATGCTTATATTTCCATGTATTTTTGAGAAATGAGTATTCTTTTCGAGATACGTAGTGTTCAATGCAAGTAGTAAATTAGTATCTACAAAAAACGAACATTTGTACTTAGCTTTTTGCTTTTATATAAAAAAATGCTCATTTTGTTTTGCAATGGGATGGTTACGCCGGTAATAGTGATTTAGGATTAGATTAGAGAGGACGTGTGCGTTTTATTTTTCTAAATTTACTACCATTAACCACCATGTTATCACCAAAAAATAGTGTTTAAATTTAAATGTGTTCAAAGTTTTCTTATAACATCCGAGAATTAGAAAACAATGATTACAAAGACAGTATTAAAACGCAAATGTCTCAAACGAGAAAGTGTAGCAGAGTTGAAAACCCAAACAGCTTAACGTAATCCAATCACGAGTCAATCGAACAAAAATGCCTTCGTAATCTGATACTCGTAAACAAAACGAAGAATAGGCTCAGGCCATTGATACCGTAGCCAAATTTTCAATGAACGTACGAACCATGAATGAACGAGAGAATGAATGGACAAGTGTTACCCGCAGAGATAGCGCAGACACTCCGGCGACATTCTTAAGACTATTCCGGGAAGCATTCTTGGTCACCTATTATTCATAGTGCAGGTGGTTATTAAATAGCTCTTCTGGACTCATTTCCGCTCGCCTTTTGTTTGACGATGGACTTTGTGATACGTTTTAAGTGATGTTTAGGTGCTTTTGAAAAAGGTGTTTCGAATGACTCGATTGTGATCTAAATGTAATGACGATTTTTGAGCATTTTATAAGAATTAAATTTCCACTTGTAAACTTGTATTTTTCTTAATATGTGATGATATTCAGTCTTCTAATATTTGAAAACATTAATATCTTTTACAAGTTATTGCACATGAAGGCACTATACTAACCTTAACACTCGGAACTTAATACGAAAGTGTTAAGTTGCGAGTGGTTGAAATTACATTGCGAGAGGTGCATATATCAATAAGTTGAAAAAATTCGACGATGGGACTCGCTAGCTCAATTGGTAGAGCAACAGCACGGAACGCTGACGATGCCGGTTCAAGTCCTGCCCGAGTCGAACATTTTTTTCACTTTATTTTCGATTTTCAAATTATATAGTGTCTTCTAATATTTTCAATTTAACGTATAAAATATAAATCAATAAAATTTTAGAAAAGTAAAATCGTAGAGTATTAGGTAGCTAGCTGTACTGAATTTTTCGTGTTTTAAATCACTGTACACGGTTAGATGATTTCAAATAAACTCAAACACAAATATAGATATGGACACCGTTATTATCAATTATGAAGATCCATTAGAAACAATTTTCCTATAATAATTTAATAAGGGCAAATTACTCCATCAGGTACTGACAATAGTCCCTTGGCTCTGGCTTAAATAACCCCTTATCATCCTGTCCGATTCATTTGCGAGGGTGGATGAACAATAACTCAATATTGGGCATAAGGCTGGTTAGACACGAAGTAGGCGACATGTCTATAAACGCCCCGATGTTGTAGTGGCTTTACTGTAAACTGTTTAATTAATTCATAAAGTTATTTAAATTTATCGTGACCGTGTTCGAGCAAATATTACTAAAAATCGGATCAACACTAACCAGTTTCAATTTGTCTAGATACTTATTTATTTCTATTTTTGATAAATTAATAGGGAGCCCTAATACTGTCATAAACTATTATTTGCGTCACAAACACTCGTCTGTAACGGCCCTAAAAGCTGTAAAATAAAGAGGAAAGATACGTTAGATAAGCTAATGTTTGCCTACAGTTGTAGCTTGTTTGCTCACTCGCGTCGTGATCAAATTTGGCTTCGGCGGATTTTTTAACAAAGGAAAGGATAGATTATATTTCGCGAATGGTTGAGCTTCGGGCTTCCTTATTGTGCTCGTATCTATTCAAGACAACTCTTTGCTTCGTGTCGGCGTAGAATGTCAACATTTGAATGGATCGAGTAGAAAAAGATATGTTGCGCATTTTCTGACAAAGTGAATAAGAAATATAACGATCGAAAAGATCGCTGCTGAAGGTTTTTTCTTCTTATTAGCTACCAGCTAACTATCGCGACTTCGTCTGCGTAGAATTGTTATTTTGAGCGTCATAATTTGTTTTTGCAAATCTCCTCCTTATTTATAAATTATAGCTGTTACCCTTTTCATGTAACAGAAATTTTATAGAACATTTAAATAGAAATTATTCTGTTATACATATTTTTTTGGGTATCTCGGACCGTTTTCGTAGCGCACGCAACCGGAAATCTCAAACATGAGTAATTTTCTGCGTCTGTTTCGTAGCTATTGATCGCAGCGTATTATAGTCTATCTCTATAGCCTTCCTTGATAAATGTTCTAACCAACACAATCATATTTTTTTAATTCGAACCAGTAGTTCCCGAGATTAGTGCGTTAAAATAAATAAACAAACAAACTCTCTAAGCAATAAACTCAAACTCTTCAGCTTTATGTATTAGTATAGATTTGATGTAGTAGTATAAGCCAAACCTTGGTCAAAAAATATTATAGAAATTTTCGTGAGAATTAGATTGTGTACATAAAGGAAATTTAAATTATCCACGCTTTAACTTGAAATAGTTAGGGTATATACGAATCATCGAACCGCAACAGACTTTCAAGAGTATTTTAATCTTCTCCAACTAACAGCTCTATTAACTGTACATACAAATAAGGGTCAAAACCGGATGTCATTCTTCGTCTGTGACAAGACAAGAAGCCATAACGTGAACCAGAGTCACGAATAAAGGACCCAATAAATAATTACATTCAAAAGCCCATCGTACGGCACTTAAAGTACAACATGATCTGAAGAGTTACTTCAAATTGCATCTGACATGATAATAATGGTCACAATTATTTTATAAGCTAACAATACGCGCTTTAATATCTCATGAACTGGTTTGAGTTAGGGCGCTAGGGGCGGAGTCCGGGCATACCCACCCTTGCACTTCTTTAGCCAGTATCAAAATCACGTGAACGCCATACGGTCCATATTATGCACAATTCATACCTAATTAATTTTCGTAGAGGGTTCGTGATTTAACTACATGGCTTCACAAAGATTTTCTTTAAAAAAATTTTCATTGCCGCTAGGTATGACCTTATAGGCGTCTGAAAATTAAATTCAAAATTATAATAACCTTTAAGTATATAAAACCCATAGTTCGGTAGTAACTATTGCGGTCTGAAATTCATAATTGTAGGCCTTCATAATAAAATAATGAAATAATTTTGCAAAATTGTATCCTGAAAACAATGAACTCCGACGAACACAATGGCAATAATAAAAGCCTCGTATTAACAAGCAAAACAGTAACCAAATTGGTTTTAATGGGATTGATATTGGGGATGTTAGCGTCCCATACGAAATTATTCATAGCTACTAAAATGTTCTATTCATACGAATACCGTTTTTTTTTAGTATGGCGGGGTACGGCTCACCGACAAAAGGGTGGGACGGGCCACATAATTGCCAAAACGCTTCGAGTGAGGCCTATTGTGTTTATTTACAATGGGGTGCACTAAGTGGGGGTAGTTTTTGTAATTGTTACTTTACGGCGATCTCACCCTCCTTAATCAGTCGCAGAGCATACGTTCGACGAACCACACACGCGTACCAAGATGTCGAGGTCGTTCCTAGTCGACACGTTGATCAGTGAAACGAAAGATTGCAAGACCACAGAAGCCACTAACACATTACACGGCTTCGGTTTCAATCAGATGGACCCGCGCCCCAAATTCCTCCCTTATCCGTACCCGCTCAATAATTTACTAACTCTCGGACTGCAGCAGCAGCGAGCGCCGGATTTATTCAGGCCGTTCTTGGAGCACCTGAACTTTCGATATCCACTCGTCCATCAATTGCCGAGACAACCGGACTACTACGAGGGGCCGCAAAGTGAGCGATCGTTCGAGGGATACGTGAAAACAGAGGAAGAACCAGTGAATTTTGTGAACAGAAGAAAGAAGTCGATTTCTCCGTACCTTCATCATCCCTACAAAGCGACGGCGACGTCTCCTTCGAAAAGCCAGGGGCAAAGATCTCCATCGATATCCAGTGGAAGTCGAAACGGCACCCCGAGTCCTCCGCTCGCCCATCCAGAGGAGTCGCTTCCCGGCTACTCCAAAGATTTAAAACGTATGCCCTTAAAAGAAGACTCCAGTAAACGCATCCGTACGGCTTTCACTGGCACGCAACTATTGGAATTAGAACGAGAATTTTCTATGAACATGTACCTATCCAGATTGAGAAGAATTGAGATCGCGTCTCGTTTGAAACTGTCGGAAAAACAAGTGAAGATATGGTTCCAGAACCGTCGCGTCAAGCTAAAGAAAGAGGAGAGCCCTCTGACCGCCGACGGGAGGACCAAGAAGTGCTGCTGTGCTAAGTCGTCCTGCTCTTCCAAAAATTCCACCGACTGTGATAATGAGCAAATCGATGTGGTCAGTGATAACGATATTAGTTTCGAAGCGCAAAACTTGTCTCGATATTCTTGATGAGAATTCTTTTCTTATAGTGGTTTATCCATGTGACATTGAGTAAAATGTAGTTTCCGGATTGAGCGTTCTTTAGTAAATTGAAAAAAAATGAATAATTTATGAAACTGTTTGTAAATAGACATAATTTATATTAGCTTAAGTGATCGGTGAGATCGTATTTTTATAAAATCTTACATCTTGTTAGATATAATAAATTTTATGGCTAGTATGTTTGAATTTTCTTTTGGTATTTTTAATTTAGTCGTAAGGGTGACGTAATGAAATGTCCTCGTGTAGAATGGCAAAAAGGAATTCGAATTAATGATAGCGTAGGGGGGGAAATATCTAATTGACAATATAATTCAATCCCTTTAAAATAATTCGACAATTTTACTTTTACTGTACCTTTGACAAAATAGAAAAAAACGGATTATTAAATATAGTTTGAAATATACTATGTATATTATATATACTAATACGTCATATTATGTAGTACGTTCTTGCATTATTTTATATTAATGGTTATAGTTTTTTTGATTACCGTTTTATTTTGCAGCAATCATTTCTGATTTATATTTAATGACTAATCAGATAAGAAAATTACAAAACAAAGTTAATGAAACCTATACCTAAGTAGTTTTAAAAGGTGTTATATAATTAATTAAACAAAGTTAAGCAAAAAATATTTTTAGTATATTATATGTATATATGGTACACGTATGTTGTTTGAGCATGTGACGTTGTTCGTGGTTAGTGAAATTAGATGTATTTCAGCTCAAATGGAAAGCCATTTCAGGTCAATTCACACTTACTCGATTTCCAATAAGCGTGAATTTATATGCTCTTTGTTTGATAATTAATAATAATATAACCTTATAGTAAATTACATTTATAAGAGCCCAATTAATTACAAATTAGCAATTTCATAAATTGCAAATAAAAAGAAATTAGTACGTGTTATTAAATTTATTTTTTAATAGTACACTAAAATCTTTTTTTGATACGAACTATATTTGCAAATCATTAAAACATTAATTAAATGCCCCTAATGGGATGATTAATTAAGGAACGTTCTAATCCCCGCAATATCCCACGAGGGAATATTTGCGAACTACCATCATCCGTTGAAAATCAAATAACGTAATTATTTGTCTAAAGCATTTATTATCTATGGATCCGCCGCGTGCACCCTCACGACGTACCACTTTCATATTGCGATCTATTTTAACTATGCTAGTTATATTGCGGTCGTTATAGAGTTCAAAATTGAATAAACTATTGATTTGACAGACGGAAATACCGTTGTCCCACCCTCGAACTATGCCGTGTTCAGGCATAACATGAAAACTTTCTTTTTCATTGCGTTTTTATTAATCGTTCTAATCCCCATAACAATAAGGACGAGATTCGTTTAAATTGTTTCACAGTAGCTGCCTAATAAAATTGTGCACTGATGAATTGCCACGCGGCTTCATTGGTATCTATTTGATTTCGGAAACCATTTTGAATTTGTTTTTCATCAGTTGCATCTTCTTTACGTATGGCTTGTCATTAAGTGTGATTGTGTGTCTGATTTATTTGCTGAAGTGATTCGGTCAGAGAGGGGTGGGAGAGTTACGCGAAATACGATGATTAAGAGATACTTAAATTCTAAATAGATTCCTGTTTGTTATAATATCGAAACTAGGCGAAATCTTATGTTTATACACAGGTGTTGTGATACTTGGTAGAGGTGTGGTGAAGTCAGCGTTAACTTGTCGCTCTAGGGCCTTATATTACTATTGACTTGAAGATATGATATACATCGTATCCATATGAGTAGTAATTACGTGGATTATGGAATACAGACTTCATTCTCGTTCACCAGTCAGTAGCTAGACTAGATTCATAACAAGTCTCTGCAGTGTTAAGTTTTCTTTATATTCATATTCGTAAAGTATGAATATTACTTTTAGTATATATTTTTTTGTGATTACTAGAGACATGTGGTAACCGAGATTTCTCGAACAAAAAGTCCTGCATATGCAAAATTATGGTTATTGTAATGTATCAATTTTATAGCTCGACTAGACAGCGCACTCAAATAAAGGTTATAGCTCTCACGTGACTTAAATTGTATTAAAAATATTCAGACCAAGCTGCATTATTACAATAATTTTGTAGAAAAGGTTAGTGACATTCTAGATGGAATTTGTTTTGAGTTCAATTAGAATTTTGAATAAGTCAATTTGAAATAAAACAGCGGAACGGCTTAAAACGTGAGATATATTAGTTAGGAGTCATTTACAAATTATTTTAACGATGTTTTCAAATGCTGTCGTGGCAGGTGTGACCTTCTTCCTGTGACCACGACTGCTGTGATTTTGTTTTAAAGGATAATTTTATAAATAAGTTTAAATAGTATATTTCGCATTTTCAAACGGTTAAAGTGTATTATTTTAATGTATACTACTCCCGGAAACCACAGAAACTTTTGATAAGAATTTTACGTGGTTTATAAAAATAAGTATTTGCTTTCTTTTATTTTTGTTCAAACACTTTCCGATTTCCACTTATAATCTGACTAAAGGAGTATTGATTAATATAAAAGATGATTTGATTAAAATAATAGATAATAAAGTTAGCTTAAATTACTACTTATATAACATAAATGTGTAGTTTTAATTATACAGAGAGTATTAATATCGCTCTGAAGATGCGACTGAAATATCCTTAACTCCATTCATGTTCTGCTATTGACAGTGATTACAGAACCCTCGGCTCGAAGCGCAATACCGTTGTCCGTTGCGAAATAGTCACGTACACATAATCCATGTTATTAAACATTACCTCGTTCTGCTCCACTCTGACCTAATTCCGGTATATTCGGTCGTATATTTACGTATTTTTAACAACCAGAACGAATGGTTTGTCCATTCTTCAGACTTTGACGTAAGATAACTGCGACCTTTATTTTCATAGAGGACAAGTTAAAAGAACAATAGCTGAGACAGTAGAAAATATTATCATCCAAAAAATACAATACTTCCATACCAGTAGAAAACCCACACAATGTTGCCACCGTTCGAAATAATTATTGTACACTCTTGTTACGCTCCTAATTATGCCGTAGAACAATACAAATACCGCACAAATATCTACTTTACTGCCCTCGTAATAAGGCGAATCATGTGAAGGGGGTCATCAAAAACGTTATAGTGCAATAAATCCCGTATCACGCTGACAACCGTATGTTTTGTCACTGCTAATAGGTCACGGCTCTCAAAACTTCCCGTTTCATCTGTAGTGTGTATTGAATTTAAATCTTATTGTGTGAGTTGTACACTCTCTATTTCAATAATAGAATTACCGTGTTGTGCGATTTTATTAAATTCAGTCCGTTCCAGATAATATCTTTCATTATTCGATTTGATATATCTATTGGCGTGCAGCAAGGTTTATTTTGCTTTATCAACAGTCGGCGGGTATAAGACGTTTTGCAAAATATCGTTATCTAGATGGGATTCATTGTACAATGCAATATCATTTGCTAGTGGAACGAATGGATCGGGTTTGATCCTTGATAAATGGAAATTTAAATTTGTTTCAAAATGTATTTGTTAAACAAAGTTTAGATCTGCATTTGATACGGAGGCACATTTGCTATATTTGGAAACTGTTTGTGTCCAAACAAACTTTGTGTTATGGGTTGTAATGATAAAGATGAAAAGGGTCTACATTTACAGAAGTTTATTAATTCTGTATTGCGGTTTGAATATTACAAGAGGTGATAGCAAAAGGAAGGAATCTTCTCAATATAGAATCAATACGGCGCGATGGGTTTGTCCCAAATAATTTTATCGCGCGGTCAGTCATTCGCTTGATGGTTTAGGATCTATGAATCTCCCATTCGATATCTTCCATTTGCTATAAAACAGGCTATCGATGGTGAGCGACGACGAGCGGCCACGGGAGAATAGCCCTTCTTATCTCTGACCTCGATAACGCTTTGGGTCAGTTTTCGATGAAGAATTGGGTCAAAAACTGTTGAGGACATAAAATTTTACGAGGACGAGTTGAAGTACTAATTGAGAGGTAATTATCGGTGCGGTCTTAAAGGACTTCTGGTAATTATGGTCAGATATAAAGTACACTTAGGCATTAGTTTCACTGCACACCGAGGATTGAAACACAACTATATTTTAATAACCTGATAATCATGAAACACTAAGTTAAATCCTAACTAGAAAATATAATTATCTTAACTAACTGCACAACATAATAAATAATAATTAAATTAACAACACCGACGCAGTATATGTAAATATAAAATACATATTACTTAATGGATTTTCATATGCTATCTACTGTCTATCGAAGCAAATCCATATATTAGCCGTAACTTATTATTTTCTAAATGGGTACTGTATATGAAAACCGTAGGGTTGTCACTTTTAACAAAATAATCCGATTGATTGTAAACACTTAAATAATATTTTATGCTGTATGAAACGTGCCGTAAAATTTTTTGTGTGTATTGTGTTAATCATTATAATATCACAGATTTGTCGCCACACACTTGAAGAAATCATAATATATTTACGTTCTTTTAAACAATGGTAATTAACATTTAGGTTAAACAATAATATTTTTAGCAGCGTGTCTTCCGTCAACATACAAACTCGAACACAAACATTTCTCAAAATTGACGAGTCCATTCTTTGTTGAGCCCTTGCGCTGAATCCATTACATTTTACGGGACATTGGTCGATCAATTTCGGCGCCCACCTGCTCGCCCTTACCGACTTTATACCTATTGGTTACAAATTAATTTCTATAACGGTGCTAACTTTTTTATGACCGCAGAGGTGTTAAACTAACTTATTAGGGCCCAAGATTAATGTACTTATTTGTTTTGTCGCTAAAGATTACGACTCAGACTGAGATCGCTGCGTTAACCGTTTAGATTATCTATATATACATTTCCAATCGATCTATATTCGTCGTGATGCGACACAATAGAAAAATTCATAATTATT